TATAACTCCCAACCTTCTAGATGTCTGATGCTAAGTTTGTGTTCCCCAAAATCAAAGACTGAAGTCTAAGGAACAATAGAGGTTAAGAGTAGGAAATATTTATTTCCTATAGGGGGAGAGATACAGCTCTTGAGAGGCAGGAGGGGCCTCCAATGGGCCGTTAAGGACCCCACTTCTCAGGGGAAGTTTTATAGAGCACAACCACATAGGTACAACATGAGTTACAGCTATGATCAACCAATAAGATTATAAGTATGGCCCTTGGGTAATATTGATCCAATGGGGAATCAAGCCACATAGCACGTGTACAAAGAAAGAACAAAGAACTTCTTGGGAAGGGATGAATCCAAGGGTCTTGGTCATCCAATGAGCTGACTGAGGTCTATCTAGACTTCATTAGACCAGGTGCTACCACTTCTCTCAGGCCTGGTCATTCCCTCTTCATCTTGAGGCCTGGCCTCCGCTCACAGCTGTGATGAGCTTTCATCCTTGCCCTGGCTCCCTCGAGGGCCCAGCCCTATCTGGCTGCCTATAATATTTCTAGCTAACTCAGGTGTCTGTAACACCTATAAGAAGAGATGATGAGGACACACAGAGAAACACCAGGATGCATGAACAGAGGAAGAACCACATAAGAAAACAGCAGGAACACAGCCATCTGCAAGCTAGGGAGACCTCAGAAGAAACCAGCCTGACCAAGAAATGGCCCTTAGACATCCAGCCTCAAGAACTGTGAGAAAATGAATTCCTAATGTTCAAGCCACCCAGTCTGCGGGCTTGGCTGTGGCAGCCTGACCGGATCAGTCTTGGGCAGATCCTCCACGCCCCCAGCAAACATTTCCGATGCTGCTAGGTCTCAAGCACAGAGCTTGACACAGAGGCTCTACGTACAAGTGGATAAAACTTGGGAGGTATCTGTTAAGACCCAGCTAGAGCCCCTCAGGGCCTGAGCCAGGCTGCACCACTGTCTTCTTCCATCCCCTTTCCTCCCCTGTGTAAATATGAAGCATCCCCATGGGCTCATGGGTTGACCCCCAGTGCAGCAGTGTTCAGAAGTGCTCAGCATTCTAAGGCTTACAGGAGTGGGTGGAGCCTGAGGTGCTCATCTCACGGGTGAGCACAGCGCCGAGTCCACAGGAACGCTTCCCTGAATGGCACGGCAGAGCTGCGGCCCCACGGAAGATGAAGACAGTTGTTCCTGCTCCTTCTCCCTCCTCCTCCCGCTCACGAGGAGGTGAGTGTGCCCTGCTCCACCATCTGCTTCCTACTGTGAGGATTTTACCTCCTCATAGGCTCAGAAGTAAAGGAGCCAAGTGACCATGGAAGGAAACCTCTGAAGTCTTAAGCCAAAATAAATCCTCTGTCCTTGTTTTTCTTTTAACTCATACAGTAGCTGAGCGTGGTGGTGCACAGCTGCAGTCCCAGCACTCGGGAGGCTGAGGCAGGAGGATCGTTGCGAGTTTGAGACCAGCCTGAGCTATAAAGTGAGCTCAACTGCATAGCAAAACCCTGTCTCAAAAAGACAAAAAAAACAAAAAAACAAAACAAAACAAAAAAACATCATACAGTAACACCTTTTGTCTTAAAAGAAAAACAACATGTATGGCATAGGTTCACCACCACCGATTTAGTGGAATAAAAGTCCCTTGCTAGCCAATAAAAGTTTGCTGATCCTCTGGGAAGCCCCAATCATTTTGTATGCTGAGCAACCACCAGTGGTCTCTAATCTATGACTAAGAGGATGCCAGGCTATTAAGATAGGACAGATGGGCTGGAGGCCATATGTGTTATGTTTTGGAAAAAAAAAAAAAAAATGATAGGCCCAGCATAGTGGTGCATGCCTGTAATCCCGCACTTGGGAGGCTGAGAAAGGAGGATCACGGAGAGTTCAAGTCCAGCCTGGACTACATAGCAAGACCCTGTCTCAAAAAATCAGAAAGAAAGAGAGAGAGAGAGAGAGAGAGAGAGAGAGAGAGAGAGAGAGAGAGAGAGAGAGAGAGGGAGAGAGAGAGAAAGAAAGAGAGAGAGAGGAAAGAAAGAAAGAAAGAAAGAAAGAAAGAAAGAAAGAAAGAAAGAAAGAAAGAAAGAAAAAGAAAGGATATAATCAATCCTGGAAAAAAAATCACCCTGCCAAGCTGGGTGGCACATGCCTATAATCCCAGCACTTGGGAGGCTCAGGCAGGAGGATCACCACAAATCTGAGGCCAGCTTGGGCTACACAGTAAACTCAAGTTCAGCCTGAACTGCATAGTGAGACCCTGCCTCAAAATTAAAAAAAAAAAAAATCATCCTAACATTTTACATGTCTCTAAACAAAAATGCAAAGCTCTGCATCTTTAAAAAAATAAAAACTCCTCTATATGGAAAATATCCCTCAACACCGTGCCTGCCACACACAAAGTATCCATGCATATATTGCCTTAAAAGTTAAAATGCTACCAATGCCTAAATCGCAGAAATTTTTTCTGGGTTTGCTTTTGCTGATTCTGAACAGTGCATGGTGGTGCAGGCACGGTGGTGCATGGTAGTGCAGGACTGTAATCACAGCATTCTGGATGGCTGAGGCAGAAAGATCACAAGGAAGAGCCCAACCTGGGGGTTTAGTGACTTAGTGAGACCTTAGTAGCTATGTGAAGAATGAAGTCTGAGGAGGTAGTTCAGTGTGAAGATTCAGGGTTCAATGCTCAGAATTGCAAAAGTAATTAACTAGTAGATGGTAGCTAGATAGATAGACAGATAGATAGATAGACAGACAGACAGACAGATAGATAGATACATAGATACATAGATAATAATAATGATGATAGATAAAACACATATATAGTAGTTAGATCAATCAAAATAATCAAAATAAATAGCTGCATATTTATTTCACTATGAAGACAAAGATGCCATAGGGTCTTCTTACGGTGTTCTTACGGTGCTCAAGTTTTGGACCACAAGACATGACTTCACTGCCTTGGCAACAGGTCCAAAGAGAACTTCGAACCCTTGCTAACAGGTATCGTGGTCTAGTGACAGCTGCCTCTTGAGCTCAGTTGGCCAGAGGAGGTCAAAAGCAGACATGCTGAGCTGCTTCCCCAACCCACGAGGCTGCGGCCTCGGGACCCCAGGCAGGGAAGGCACCTTTGAATGACTAAAACGGTGGTTGACTCCATCCAGATCCTCAGGTGATGCTTCAGGAGCTGCCCTCTGTCACAGACAACCCAGGGCAGCTCTCACCAGTAATGGACACCAGGTGCTCGGAGATCCAGGAGCCCTGAATAGGTCTTCCCAGGCCCAGCTCCCAGAGGTGGAAAGACCCTGAGGAACCCAGGAGGTCTCCAAAGGCCCAGCTATTGAGTACTCAGAACCACAGGAGCCCAGGGCAGATCTCAGGCCCAGCATCCAGTCACTGAGAAAAACAGAGGCACCCATGGGAAGTCTCCCCAGG